TCTCACCTCTCTTCCAGAGGCTTAAAGGGTCTTCCCAGCATACTCAGAGACTTCTAATTGTATACCACTGGAACAAAAATAAGGACATTCCTTGACTTCCAACATTTTGACTACAGAGAATTTCTAGAATTACAAGATTTTCAAGAAGAAGCAACAGTGGAGGGAAAACAAACTTAGCAGTTTTGCCAATTCCACATTAACTCCTCATAATCCTCGACTTACGACAAGAGAGAGAGAGAATGCGCAAAGCGCTTTCCCACTTCCACCAAAGCCTTTCCCGAATTAAGGACTAGGGCACCGCAAGAGTTAACCGTCTGGGTCTCGCTTTTTAAAGTCCTTTAGATAATCTTTACTTGGAAACGTGCTACTTGGATTGCTGACAAAAGTGGCGTGAGAGGGGGGAAAAGGAGAAGAAAGCAGCAAAATGAGCCCGCCCGATTCAATTCCCATGAAGTGTGACTCACTGAATTCACCGACGGTGCCCATCGCGAATTGCGCCCTCCCGCAAGTAGTCGCAGGGAGCCGACACATAGGCCGCGCGGCAAACCACGCGTCGCTTAGCAACACTGGTACCAAGCGTTTCCCCAAAGGCCCACGCCCTGCCATCGCCCCTCCTTCTCTTTCACGGCCGCGTGAGCATGCGCACACGCTGATAGAAAGGCGGGGCAGCGGAAGGAAGGGAAGGCTGATCGAAGGGTGTTCAGTCACGGCAACCGGGCACTTGAGCGTGGGAGGGCGGGGTTGCTCGTTCTGGGGCCCCATTTTCAACCTTGGCAACTTTTAAGATGTTTGGATTTCAACTCCCAGAATTCCCTGGCCAGCCATGATCTCTACTCGTTTCAACCTTGGCAACTTTTAAGATGTTTGGATTTCAACTCCCAGAATTCCCTGGCCAGCCATGATCTCTACTCGCAGCAATAGAATAGAGCAAGTACCTCAAAAAATAGTAGATATTTCTTCCAAACGCGTATACAACATTTGATACAGTCCTGAAAACAACCTGAATGAGTCGTATAAAGAGATGAACTTGTGAATATATAGGGAGAGGGACTCAAATACCAAACAATAATGAGGGGAAGGTGTAGGAATCCCCATTTATACTTGACAAATCTTGTCTGAAATAATAGCAATCTAAAGGCCAAGGGAGAAGTAGAACTTGGGAGATACGTTAACAGTGCTCAGCAGAATAATTTTATAGCACTTTTAAGGTTTGTTGGTAGCACATTATTTTGGTTTTTGGATAGTGTTATTGGTTT